GATGTCAAGCCAGTTGTAGAAAATGCTTTCCTAAATTTGTTTACCTTTGCATAGATGACCGTTCTGTTCAGACATGGCAGTTTGGTTTCACAGGGTTACAATCTAATCAGCCATACACAGACTCACATATAAACAACAATCACCCATCGTCAATATGTCAGGAACACCAGGTCAGCACATGAGTATCAGCATCAAAAGGTATATAATTTAAAAAGGAAAGAAAAAATTGGAGTATAATCAGATACTATGATTTATTTGTCACATTTAGCAGCCTGATTGCTGAAGGAATAAAGGAGCTACATTATCAACTTTTCAACTATGAAAAAGTAAAAAAAATAAACTTTTTTTTTTTCTTTTTTCTAGGAGCAGGCTAAGACAGTCATGGCTGGAATGACGGATCCTAAGGCCCCTTTTAAGCTGATATACGTGACTCCAGAGAAGATTGCCAAGAGCAAACTCCTCATGTCTCGTCTGGAGAAAGCCTACAACGCCAGTCTGTTGAGTCGTATTGCTGTGGATGAGGTGCACTGCTGCAGCCAGTGGGGACATGACTTCAGACCAGGTGTTCTTTCAAGACTACCTCAGTAATGCCTTTCAGATCTAATTCTAGGTTTAAGGTGCTAAAGATTTGTGTGTTTGCATTACGGTGCAGATTATAAGCTGCTGGGCATCCTGAAGAGGCAGTTCCCCAAAGTGCCACTGCTCGGCCTCACAGCCACAGCAACCAGCAGTGTCCTCAAGGACTGTGAAAAGATCCTCTGTGTGCCACGGCCAATCACGCTCACTGCCTCCTTCAACCGAATCAATCTCTACTATGAGGTGGTAACCTTGGCAGCAAGACTCTCTCTCTCTCTCTCACTCACACTCACACTCACACACACACACCTTCCAGCCACCTGCTTCATACAGATACAGACACCAAATGTGTTTCGGTACATGCTTCCACACCTTTCTAACCTTTTCAGACATCTGCACTGCTTTGTACCAAAACATGAAAATTAACAGACTTGACTGTGTTGCGCATGTTTAGGTCATTACTGCATTTTGCATGGCTTTTGTTTTGATTAGGTGAAACTGTCAACTAGATAATTAGCTTCAGTTCATTATTAAAATCAGTGTGCAGCTTCCATATTTACTATAATCTTCTTTATACAGACTACATCTTCAGCTACTTAATTACTATACACTATAGAAATTATAACAGTGAAACTAGTGCCATTTTCACAGTTGTACTCTGGACAGGGTCCGCACACTCAGGCCTGGACATCGTTCAGTATTGCCCTTTTACATAACAGCAGATAGTCTGTGTCAGATGCATTCTCACTTACTGGAAATACTCCGTTTGGTTTATGCGAGTTGGCCTGTCTGGGTAGAGCTCGCAAGAGGCGGGACATGACGTGGTCTCATAGCCAGTCTGTAATTTGGTCGAAAACGACAGAGTCTATTGCTGTACCTTAAATTTGTCTAACGATTCTAGCACTGACTCTCAATGACAGAAGTTCCTGAATTACATCATGTGTCTCCTGTTACTTTTTTTTTTTGCTGTCGTCATTGTATATTCATCCATCCATCCATCCATGGAGCTGGCTTAGTAAAGTCTATTTAATATTTACAACAACCAACTATTAAATTCAGACATACATCTCACCTGGGTAATGTCTAGCTCTTTTCATGGTTGCAGCGCATGTCTGAAAGGGGCTTAATACTATTTTTTTTCTTCAGGTCCGTACTAAACATTCTGACAATGAATCATCAATAAATGACATTGCCTCTCTGATCAAGAGCAGATACCAGGACCAGTCAGGTACTGCAGCAAACAGTACTATTGAATCACAAAAATAAATGTGATTATAATGAATTTACTAAAGGTCGACACTCTATTGATTTGTCATTTTTCTCACTGCATATTTCCTCATATATGTGTGTGTGGTTTTTTTATGCCATAGGAATCGTGTATGTGTTTTCTCAGAAGGATGCAGAGTTGGTGTCATCTGAACTCCAGAAAAAAGGCATCCTGGCCTATCCTTACCACGCTAACATGAACCCTGATGATAAGTCTCAGGTTCACCGCAAGTGGACTTCCAACAAAATCAGGGTAATGGGGGTTTTTAGGAGCATTCACCCAACATTTCTACAAAGTAAATCCTTTGGTTTATGGTGACTGAGATGATCACCATGTACAGTAGGAAAGATGTTTTTGTGAACTTGCACAGTCAGTGTTTCAGGGGGATGCCAAGCACATTTAGCTAGTTTTGTGGTCAGGTGTGCCTGGTGCTCATGCAGCACACTAGGGTGGGATTATGTTTGACCTTAGGGACCAGTTTAAACACAGAACTCTCCTTGTTATGAAACCGCCAGAAACCTCCTGTTGACCGAGACATGCAGAGTTTCAAATATGAATCCAGCAGCTCAGATATCAGGGATACAGACATCTTACCTTTCTGCGAAATTTGATATTGTTATGTCCAGTTGGTCACCAATGTGTTATTGTACAGATCTGCAGTAAAACATTTGCTTGTCAACTGCCATTACAACCCAAAGGCAAAGAACAACAGTAGTCAGGTTTATACATTTTCAGTGCAGATGTACACCAGCTTCACTGTGTTAACAGTCAAAGTGATGTGTGAGCAAACATTGCATCACAGAAATGATAAAGGGGCACCAGTGTGAATGTCTCTTGGGTTACAACACTCTTGTTAGCAAACCTAAATATAGAAATCATTTAGGTTCAGCTTTGTGTTTTTAGCTGGTGGTGACTGTTACTGTTTAAGGGGGAGCGAAGGCTTTGGGCCGTTAATGTGCTGATACACATTTGATGTCTTCAGCTGCTATATACACTGTATTTATTTTTGTCAAAACATTTTTTTTTGGCTGCCACTCAAAACTCTCTTCTCAACCTACAGATTTTGAGTTCATGTTCCATATGTTGAACAGTAAACATACATACAGTCATGGCCAAAAATATTGGCACCCCTGCATTTCTGGCAGATTACACACCACTTCTCCCTGAAACTTGTTGTAATAACAAAATCTTTGGTGTTTTTTTTTTGTTGTTTGCACTGGAAAAACACAAAGAGCAGAGAAAAAAGGCCAAATCAGATCCATTTCACACAGAACTCCAAAAATAGACTGGACAGAATTATTGACACCCTCAACTTAACCTTTGCTGCAGTCTGTCATCTGCTTTTCTCTTTTGTCCACATCCAGGGAGATTAGCTACAGCGCCATGGGCTGTAAACTTCTTGATGATGTTGTGCACAGTGGACACAGGAGCAGCCAGATCTCTGGAGATGGACTTGTAGCCTTGAGATTGTTCAGGCTTTTCCACTATTGTGGTTTTCACATCCTCAGACATTTCTTTGCTCTTCATTCTTTTCTCCATGCTCAGTGTGGTCCACATGACACAAAGGCTGAGTCAATTTTTCTCCATTTTAACTGGTTGCATGTGTGATTTCTATGTTGCCAGCACCTGTTGATTCCTACAGGTGAGTTTCATTACAAATTAAAGGAGCATCACATGGTTGGAATACAACTATTTCTGCTGATTTTGAAAAGGTTTCAATAATTCTGTCCAGTCCATTTTTGGAGTTCTATGTGCAGTGTATCAGATTTGGCATTTTCCCCCTCTGTTTTTTGTGTTGTTCTAATGATCATTAACCTTAGTGAATTTATAATGAATTTGGTGAATCATCCAGTACTAACAAAAACACATGGCGTGTTATTATGGTGTGTTAACTGTGGCCCATGTTTGACAGTGAATAGCAGTGAATGCTCATGTTAACAAGGTAAACAAAAGAGCCTTCTTCAGTGCGGTGCGGGGAGGGCAAAAATAGCGTATAAGGTCACACACAGCTTCAGTTAGAAATCAGAATCTTGTGCGTATATGCACAGTTATAAGGTCTGAAGAGATTTGTGAAATTATACAGGGGAGAAGCTGGTCAGTCGAGTTTGTGGCAAAACGTTTTACAGTGCTTGCATGTTCTGTCTTTTACTGCATATGATAATACATACTCAAAAAGTAGAACTGAAGTAACATTCATCACAAGATAGTTAATTAAAATATTTCTAAATGCACCTGCATTGTTTTGCATTTTGTGACTTTCACTCAAATAAAATGCTGTTTTCCAGTAATATATTTTGTCATTGAAGTATTGTCTCGTCTTGTTCTCGCGAACCCAGTATCGTGTATCGTCTCGTCTCATGAACTAGGTGTATCATCACATCTTTAAATATGAATGTAACTGAGAGCTGGGAACTCAGTCAAAGGAAGATGGAGGCTACATGTGCAGCCACCATGTTTAAAAACTTTGGGATAAAAAAAAAAAGAATCTTATTAGTGTGGGTATCGTATATGAATGTCAGTATGTGGTTTTCTGCAGGTGGTGGTTGCTACTGTAGCGTTTGGCATGGGCATTGATAAGCCTGACGTCAGGTTTGTCATCCATCACACCATCAGCAAGTCCATTGAGAACTATTACCAAGAGAGTGGACGTGCAGGTAGATGCATTTAATTTTTATCAGGATAGCACACAAGTGTATACAGCTCTGGTATTTTTGCAAATGTATCATTAAAATTTCTCTTTCTGTTTCTCCAGGTCGAGATGACTGTCCAGCAGACTGCATCGTCTACTTTGGCTTCTCTGATATCTTCAGGATCAGCACCATGGTGGTCATGGAGAATGTCGGTCAGCAGAAGCTGCTGCAGATGGTCGACTACTGCCAGAATGTTGAAAGGTAGCACGCACACACTGTTGGGGAGTCAAATACCTTTTTGAATACAATATTTACCTTGAATAGGAAACAGATCACAAACCTCTTAATTTGAAATATTCAGTCACATGGGCAGAAGCAGAGGCAAAATAAAGAGGGAGAGAAACTCACATGTGCACAGTGTGGTAGGAACATTTTAAGTACCACTATGTGCACGTGCTGTGTACGTGCTAAAAATACCACTGTTGTAGTGCTTGAGTCAAGGACTCAGACTCGAATCTGAAATTGAGCCCTGATTTTCAGGACTCATGACTCTGCTTGTCCTTGAGCAATGATGACTCAGACTCAGACTCCAGCATTGAATTTAGACCTCGAAGTTCGAGACTCAGACTCAAGACTTTTTTTTTGGTAATAGGCCATAATCATTTGGCATAAGATATTTATATTAAAACCTGTTCGCCCGTACCGTGCTGTATCCAGCACATCCGTGCACATCCATCAAAACGTACATTCCACCTTTCCCTAAATTATTTTTTATATAAATCACCGTTTGATATGGTGATGCAATGCACTGTTAGAAAGTTTGGAATCTCAGGATTTGTTACCCACAGTTTTTTATTCACAGCAGTTATGATCAAGAGTCCAGACAAGTTTCCATATTGTTTGAAAATAAGTAGCACAAAATATTCACAGGCGCAGCCAAATCACAACGAAAACTAAAAGTGAACTTTAATTTCTGGGTGAACAGGTCTGACTGTTGTGTGCGCTTACAAGTGCATTTGTTTGGCAACTGTCACACACAGTAAGTCAGTTGTGTTTAATGTAGACCGTGATGACTTGGACTCAGGTAACAGGGACTCACGTCGGACCTGACTGACTATTTTTTGGTGACTCGGACTTGACTCAGATTCAAACACTGGGGACTCAAGACTCAACTCGGGCTTAAGATGTAGTGACTCAACTACAACACTGACAACCTGTACACCAGAGTACATACATGTAATATCCTTTTAATTTGCCATATACACATTCTAAAAACTTCACCCATGTGAGTGACGAGGACTCTCACAGCACAACTTGAATGACTCTCGAGTCTCATCCTTGATATATGAAGGTGTCGGCGCTCCCTCATGGCAGTACATTTTGATGAGGTGTGGGACGATGAAGACTGCAACCAGATGTGTGATACTTGCTGCCATGAAAAAGGTGTGTGTTTGTGATATGTTTTAATAGGAGTCATCCTTGCATGTGTGACATGAACCGTGTGTTTTGTTTCTTGATGAAAAGACATGCAAGTTAGTGATACAGTAATTGAACCTCCGCTCCTCCAGACTACACCACTGTGGACATCACCCAACATGCCAGACAGGTGGTGCAGATTGTGGAACTGGCAGCATCCATGGATGAGAAGCTGACTCCTCTGAAGCTAGTAGAGGCGTGGATGGGGAAAGGCCCCGCCAAGCGCAGGAAGATGATTCAGACCACCATGCTGTCTCGGCTGCAGGCTGAAGCTGTGATTGTGCGGCTGCTACTGCAGGGATATCTCAGGTGACCTTGTGTTCCTTTTAGGATTTTTACACTGGTGATTATTTAAATTAATTAGTGGAAAACATACTTTGGCTTAACACTGACTGTGTTGACATGCACTTAATTTAGCAGGTCAAACCAGGTTACAGCAGAAATCAGATGGTGCATTTACATGCACGACAGTAATCAAGTCACTCAAAAACCGCAGTACACATGAGTTCCTAAGTAATCTGATTTCCCTCCCCACAAGCCCAATGAAACTGGAAAGATGTTATTTGGGTGCACCCGCAATCAGAAAGCCTGATGTCATTATGTGACTGCATCCTCCCATAAACAAAGATGGACCCAGTCATTCAAGCTTTTATTTTGGTCTCTTTAGCGATGACATTAGCTGACCCATTAGTCTTGAAATTAATAATGGCAAATAGAAGATGAATGCATGTAAACGCAGTCATTGTGTGTTTGGGTTTTTTTTTTCCTGATGAGCCATAACAGGCTTCCAGTAGCAGTCTGAGTAATGTACTGATTGTTTCAGAATCATTGATCTGAGTGAAACTTTCAAAGCAAAGAAGCTGCAAGTTTAATTAGAATTCACATAATTTATTTACAGTGATTAACAAGTGTAGGAGGTGAATGGTTTAGCCTGCAACTGTTGGTAATCACCACCCCCCCCCCCCCCCCCCCCCACACACACAGCCTGCCTCTCTCGCCAGTATACTTTTCACTGTCTCTTCCTCTTACCCTGATCTGCAGTTATTCTTCACGTTATCTTGGTTTGGCTGAATTTGTTCTCCTACAGCAACAGCCACTGCCCCTCAAACTCAGGATACCAGCTTCTCTCTGGCTTAAGTTATTCAAGTCCTCTTTCCTCCTTTGATTGTTCACACGATTACTGAACAAATTTAAGTTCAAATTAAGTTGATTCTCCCTTATTTCTCAGTTGGTGGTGGTGGTTGCACAAGTAACTCTAGCTCCAAGCTCTTTAGCTAGGCCTTACTGTTGCTGTTTATACCTACTTTTGATAGAGCTACATCAAGTTAAAACTACAAATAAATACATACTGTAGGTCTCAGAAGTGCACTTACAGTGGTGTGAAAAAGTGTTTGCCCCCTTACTGATTTCTTATCTTTTTGCATGTTTGTCACACTGTAATGTTTCAGATCGTCAAACAAATTTATATATTAGTCAAAGATAACACAAGTAAACACATCATGCAGTTTTTAAATGAAGGTTTTTATTATTAAGGGAAAACAAAATCCAAAACTATAGAGCCCTGTGTGAACAAGTGTTTGCCCCCCTGTCAAAACACTGGTTTATCGCACCTGAGTTCAATTTCTCTTGCCACACCTGTTCGCAATCAAGAAATCACTTAAATAGGACCTGCCTGACAAAGTGAAGTAGACCAAAAGATCCTCAAAAGCTAGACATCATGCCGAGATCCAAAGAAATTCAAAAACAAATGAGAAAGAGAATAATGGAGCTCTATCAGTCCGGAAAAGGTTATAAAGCCATTTCTAAAGCTTGGGGACTGCAGCGAACCACAGTGAGAGCCATTATCCACAAATGGCGAAAACATGGAACAGTGGAGAACCTTCCCAGGAGTGGCCAGCCGACCAAAATTACCCCAAGAGCGCAGCGACAACTCATCCAAGAGGTCACAAAAGACCCCACAACAACATCCAAAGAACTGCAGGCCTCACTTGCCTCAGTTAAGCTGAGTGTTCATGACTCCACCATAAGAAAGAGACTGGGCAAAAATGGTTTGCATGGCAGAGTTCCAAGACGAAAACCACTGCTGAGCAAAAAGAACATAAAGGCTCGTCTCAGTTTTGCCAGAAAACATCTTGATGATCCCCAAGACTTTTGGGATAATACTCTGTGGACAGACGAGACAAAAGTTGAACTTTTTGGAAGGTGTGTGTCCCATTATGTGTGGCGTAAAAGTAACACCGCATTTCAGAAAAAGAACATCATACCAACAGTAAAATATGGTGGTGGTAGTGGGATGGTCTGGGGCTGTTTTGCTGCTTCAGGCCCTGGAAGACTTGCTGTGATAAATGGAACCATGAATTCTGCTGTGTACCAAAATATCCTGAAGGAGAATGTCCGGCCATCCGTTTGTGACCTCAAGCTGAAGCGAACTTGGGTTCTGCAGCAGGACAATGATCCAAAGCACACCAGCAAGTCCACTTCTGAATGGCTGAAGAAAAACAAAATGAAGACTTTGGAGTGGCCTAGTCAAAGTCCTGACCTGAATCCAATTGAGATGAGAAATTGAACTCAGGTGCGATAAACCAGTGTTTTGACAGGGGGGCAAACACTTGTTCACACAGGGCTCTATAGTTTTGGATTTTGTTTTCCCTTAATAATAAAAACCTTCATTTAAAAACTGCATGATGTGTTTACTTGTGTTATCTTTGACTAATATATAAATTTGTTTGACGATCTGAAACATTACAGTGTGACAAACATGCAAAAAGATAAGAAATCAGTAAGGGGGCAAACACTTTTTCACACCACTGTATACTATCCAACTATTAAATGTTGATTTACACCTGCCAACCAATCAGAACTGAGAATTTTCAGTGGCCATGGTAGGTCATTAAAACACCAGCTTCCAATTTAGTGAATGTATTTAAATATTTAGTAAAGTCAGGTATACCATTAATGTAATATCTTATTGAATGTGAGCTAAATTGGTCACATTTTCTATAGAAGACAAGCCACGTTTACTTGCGGTGTTTTTCCATCAGCATGGATCAGCCTTGCTGAGCTGCATAAAACACACTGTTTCTCTTCCACATCTTGATCATGTGAAGGCAGCGTGAGCTATCGAGAAGCGACACATAACTCATGAGCCCTTGGAATCCTGAAATTATCTAGACATTACCCGGGGAAACTGTATATGAGAAATGTCTGAGTCAGTCATCCCGGACCTTAAAAGTAGGGTTGGTGATTCTTTTCAGAAGCATGTTTTCTTACATATTTTGAAATTCTCTTTTCATTCCAATGGCAATGAATACATTAAATGGATTGACAACATAAAGAAAAAGATCTGTATTTGCTGGCACCAGTAGGACTGAAAAAAGCCTCACCAGTAATTTTACTCGTCCCAGGCAAAACCACTGAATGACTTACCTGCCTGTTAACCTACTTCCCACTTGCCCTTGTACTCAATGCACAAGCCAAACATCTCCCACAAGGCTTTGCAGTTGCAGGCAGATGTGTTACTGCTGTGTTTTGATAGCTAAAGCTAGCAAGTTGTTTCAGAGAAGGTGCCCATAGCAGCTTTTGTTCACAAACAGAGACCACTGTTATAGGCCAGGCCTTCCCCTTTAATACTAATAGCTTTATATGTAGGTAATGTTGTTGTTATTGCTACCTGCATACAGTGTGAGAGCGAGAAGACCATTGCACAGAACAGACTCCTTTTACAATCAGCCAGACAATTGTCAGCTCTAAGTGTATAGGCATCAAAGGCCACATGCAGTGTTCATGTTACCAAGATGGAATAAAGCCTGTGTTTTGGACAGAATTCATTGGCTTCCCTCTTCACTTCTCCCCGCTGGAAAAACCTGGACTTTTAAGGATAGTTACTGGCTACGAGCCAGGGCTAAAGCAGCTATGGTTCGGGGCCACAGATCTGGGCAGGTAACACTGGATTCAAGAAAGTTACAACTAAAAACAAGTTGGATGCTGCAAGAAGTAAAACCAGAATTAAGGTTGGTGTAGCTTTTGAATGATGGTGACAACTGAGAGAACAAAAGGAGCTGAAAAGTGACACCATGGTGGCTGTATTTCTGCTGGACAGGTAATTATCAGTTTTGTTTTGTTTGGGTGGCATTGGTTACTTTCCTGAAATCTGAAAGTAGTAGTAGTCAGGCTGTGCACATTGCAGTGCACATTGTGTTTTGGAGAGAAGAATTGTCTACTTTCAAAATCAAGCTTCCTCTTTCTGGTTTTACGAGGATCGCCATCCCTACCTTTACTCTGCTAAGCATTATTTAACGCCTCATCAGAAGACCAAGTGAGAGACTCCATGTTCAAATCTTGGTGCAATGAAATAATGGGTAAAAAAGTCGATGCTGAATGTGAAAGCACTTTCCCTCAGTGCAACATTTCAGGGAGCAGGCTCTGTTGAAGGCTTCATTTGGCCCTGAGTGGAAGCAACACTGACTAATCCCGAGTCAGCACAATTACCCCCTGCTGCTAGGAAATGATGGAAACGGAGGCCAAGCCGTGCCCACCTGGTTCAGCATAATTAAAGTGGGATGACCTGTACTAATGGAAAACACCATTAGAAATGTATTTTTCTGTGATTGGCAACAAGCATTTTTTACTTATCTGTTTATCACTTTCTTTTTGTATTCATGTAAAAACAAGTGTGTGATTATTCATGGTACCGCCATATTTTGTTTACCATAATGTATTGCAAATCATCTCAGTTTAAAATGCAATCACAGTATTGGTCAGAAAAATTGTAAATCAACTTTAGCTTCAAATTGCGTAGCCCTAATGCGAGCTACTTCAAATACATCATGAAGAAATCATGGCCGTATTTAGTCCCCAAAATGTTGACTTTTAGAATATTTAAATAACCGATTGGAAAGGTGAAATACATTATAGCTTCTTAGCTTCTCTGGGTTAATGTTAGTTTGTTCTCATTGTGACAGTCTTGGAGGTTGGTGGTCTGGCCTCGGTATGTTGTAGCTTGCTCACTCAGCATTTCCCTGGACAGTTTAGGTAAAAAATTATATTAGGACTCAGGACAGACACTTGGGACTCATTTAATTTCACTTATACATAACTCACAAGCGCCCTACCTGGAAAAACTATGGTAACGGAGCTACTACTACAAGATGTATTGCACTTTACCCATAGAAAGACAGCGCTGTGATGTTCATAAGAACACATTTTGGGACAGTTTAGACACAGATTATGGTATATTCCCTTTTTGCTCTTTTGGTTTCTGACTTCAGAGAGGATTTCAGTTTCACTCCATACACCACCTACTTTTACATGAAGCTGGGCCGCAAAGCTTCTTTGCTGAAGAACCAGACTCACACACTGAGCATGAAAATGAGGACAGTAGAGGCTGGATCTGCTGTGGTGAGTATATGTTGGCCACAATATTATCCATTATTATATTATATGGTGGCATACAGGCCACCATGTACTATAAAAACATTTTGTCTCTGACGAGCTAATAACAAGAAATTGTCTCTCCAGTATATGTTGGGCCCCTCCCATTTAGTGCTCCACTAAACTCTTTGTTTGAATCTCCTGTGTTAAATAGATTTTTCTTTCTCTGCTCCCTTTGTGAACTCTCTCTGACCAGTTTCTTTTTCCCACTGTGTGGCTTGATGTCTTTCCTCAGTGTCACATTTAAATGTTCTCAGACATTGTTTTTAACAGTCCATAGAGGTAAGTCAGAATTGAAACAAATATTTTCTGTGTTTAATGTTTTAAATCATTTATTCTATACAAAATCCTGTTCTCCAGATAGAGATGACTGGAGTTTGTGTTTCTGGTCGAGATTCGACAGTCTGTTAAAATCAGTACGCTTCACACCACTGCCATGTAGCGCCTGATAATGACATTAGTACTCTAACTTAATTAACCATAGTTCATGTAGATTCCATTGCTGATCTGATGCAGATGGAGATACACAGTTTAGTTTTTCTGTTTTGCCACTGTTTCGGTATTGCGCATGTTTTAAATGTGTGCATCAACAATGTGACTGGTGTAAAGGACAAGAAATAATCACCTCTGCCTTTGATTTTTATTAGGTTTTACCCAGATATTTTGGCACTGAATGAGATTTACTACTTAAATTTAAAAAACGGCAAAGAATTTTAATTAGTATTTTCTGTACACAAAGCATTTAGTCATTTTTCAGCCTTCATCAGTAAAATGGAATTGGCTCAGCTTTGGATTGGTTGTCATCATGTGAGCAGAGTATGAAATGCTAATAATGACCAAGACTGTGAGGTGTGGTCAAAAGCTTCCAACAGAAAAGTCTAATAAATGGTCCTTTAGTTCAAACAATATAAAGTAATAAATATTTAATTTAGCTCATTTAACAGTAATTTATCAAGCTAACACACCAAGCATTAGCTGATTCCAGCTATTCAAGTCAGGGCAATTTGTGATGATGTGAGTTAAGCACAGAGGAGATTGAATCACTGTCATCACCCATTGTATGATAAAATGGAAGATAGCGTAGGTTCTTGTCCACATTTGAGTGTCCCATGTCCTAGCGTTCCCTCGTCCACCCTAAGTAAGTCTGAACCCTCTCGTGCTGGAGATGCCCCTGTGTCCAAGAAAATCAAGACAGACCTCCCCTAGTCCCCCCCACCCCACCCAGAAGACAAGCTGACAAAGTACAGTCCATCATTCTCTATTCTGTTCTCTACTGCTTCTGCTGCCATGGCACTGTCCACACTTGCTCTTTGTGCTTCACAGTTGAATCAGGGTGTCTGGTTGTTGGCTGACTGATGAGCACTGAGAATCAGTTTTTTATTTAAAGTTGTAAAATAATGAGCATGATATAATCTAATCATTCCTAACCACTAGGCTTGGGCGATAAAACTAAATTATTGGTAACACCAAAAGCCAAGAAAATGCTGCCTTACAGATGTTTGCTGCACATTAGAGGCCTATAGCTGGAGCTACACTTTAAACATGATTCACCAGCATAGCTTTCCTTATTTACTCTTTAGATTCACTAGTGAACACTGTCACTTTGTTAGTAAATCAAGCTGTTCAAATTAAGCCTCACTTGAGTAACAAGTTAGTGCCGCTCTATGGCAGATGCATGTTACAAATTCAGCAAACAACTTTTTATTTATTGTGTCAAATGCAAAATGTGCCCACTTTCTTCTTATACAGTTTGACTATGGAGCAGATGGGTAGTGTGCTGTAGGAGTACAAGGCACAGTGTATTGCAGGAATCACAACAGGTCATCAGATATTTAATCTATGATGTGCAAATGCTAGTTCAAGTTCCAAATGAAAAGTGGCAAGCCAGCTTTTTAAAAGGCAACACAGCACTGCTTGTGTCCACAGCTTTTCCAGATTAAGATTGCTCACTAGTTTTCCTCTGTGTTGCATTAGGAGTGCATGACATGGCTTGTAGTACTTGTACAGTGATATTTCATTATGGGTACATCATTACAGATAAATGTAAATTAGGATTCCACTCAATAGCAAGAATCCGCTTTGTTCTGCAAGAAGACAAGATGTTTTCAGTCTTCATCTGTGTCACAGTTTCACAGTACAGCTGCTTCTTTAAACATTACATGCAGGTGAATCCTCTTGAGATAATTAACCTGCACCTGGTTAAGTAATCCTGACTGAAACAAGCTGAGCTCCTAGGAACAGAAAAAAGTGACACCACCTTCGGTCTCAAGTGAAGCCCAGCGGTCGGCTTTCCTACTTGACTCCATCAAAAGGCACCAATGTCATACATGTACAGAAAAACTGTTGGATTCTATTCTTCATTTAAACCCTATAACCGTCCTATGACACACTAGGAATTTTCCATCTGATTCCAACAGTTGTAACATTTCAGTATCGCCCAAGCCTGTTGTTCATGGCTTTTGGTGCCAGTGTCCATTCTCAGGAGCATGCTGCCACTAACTTTCACTAACATTTAATCAATGTATTCCCATTGTCTACAGAGAGAGGCAAGATAAACTATTTGTTATAGTATTTCTTTTTTACTACGTGTTGCTTAAAAAGACCAATAAGAAAATAAATATATTCTGGGTTATTCTAGGGTGATCTTTCAATGTTTCACTTTTCTACTGTTGTTCACTAACACTACTTTTCATGGTTACAGGACATGTCCACTGTTAAAACCAATGAGGAGGAGGTTGATGTAACCTTTGACCCCATTGTCATGGACAACAGCTGTCTCCCACAACCCAAACAGAAACTATTTAAAGAACAGAAGAACCAGTCCAGGAAACGAGATCTGAAGCCAGTCAGCCAGACAGACAAACGGACAGAGAGAGCAAACAAACAGCAGACAGACAGACATGGAGAGGAGGAGAATCAGAGAGGATCCATAATGCCTCATAATGTAATCAAGGTTGATGTTGAAATTAATATGATAGAAAACGCCGGTGTTGGTGATGGTGAGAAAGCAGCATCTTGTCCAGTTAAACACTGTTCCAAAAGGAAGTCCACCACCCCTCAGAGAGTGAGGCAGAAACCCCGTGCTAATGTAGCAGCATTGGACATTCCCTCTTCATCTCCAGGTGGTGCCACCCCAGCAACCATTGTACCCAGATCCCCTTCCCAGGCTTCCATCATCTCTGAGACTGCCGCTGAGGAGCTCTGTGACCTGAGGAACTACTACAGCAAGCAGCTGAAGAGAATAAACTACATTTCCCATGAATACCTGGGGCGGCCCACAGAGCCAGGAGTACTGGCGTGCATAAGGGAGCCTCTGAAGAGCCTCCGTTTGCCTCGCAGGGTGACCATTGCCCAGACAGCCCGCAGCCTGTGGACAAGAGTCAGCGGAAGGCGGAAACTGGTGCACGATGACATCGCAGTCTAAAGTTCAGTCTGCTCAACAAAGTTTATACGTGGACTGTATCTGGGTCACACGTGTGACTCCACTAGACAGGAGAGAGCAATGGTCACTAACTCACCCCATTAGAAAGTGTTGATGTTCGTTACAGACCGAGATTAATTTGAAACATTAAAATTAAGTGGTGTGGATTTAAAAATGTGCATTTGATTTTATATTTAAAGTATATACAGTACTTTGTGTGTAAATCATGTCCTTTACTTTAAGGAGACCAGAACCCAAAAGGATGAAACATCTTTAATCACTTTAATGGCATCCCCTGTCGATGTTAAGTGCAGCTGGCCTTCTTACCACTTGGAGAACGTCTTTCTTCATAGTCACTTAAGTTATTTCATTTTTAATTTAGTGACAACCATCTCCCTTCTATCAGTGGCGGCAGTGACACAACAGAACCTCAGACTTTGATCAACACATTTGTTTTCTAGGTAAAGTCCCCTTCTTACTGTAGCTACAATAAATAAAAATTTGTTTCTAAGCTTGTATCCCTGTCAACACATAACTGTAAAGGTGTAAGTGGTTGTGTTCAGCTGACTTGGTCAGATGCTAAATGAACAATTTAAATAACAGTAAAAACACAAAACATAAAATTAGAACAGGAGGAAGTTGTTGAAAACATGAAGCTAAAAAGAATGAAAAGCTCAGAGGAGTAAGCATCATGCAAAGTAGCTCATGGACTCACGTTAAGCAGAGCACATAACATCCAAATCACATTACATTACCTGGGTCTATAATGTCATGTATGATGAAACAAACTTACATGAATGATTAAACATATAGTCGGGTTTTATGCATTTTCAGGGTTCTATAGGTTCGAATGCTTATTATTATTTTAACATTTAGCCCCGTGATAGACCAACGTCCTGTCCAGGGTATACCCTGCCTCTCGCCCAATGCCGGCTGGGATTGGCTCCAGCAACCCCGTTCGGGACTAAGTGGTATAGATAATGGATGGATGAAATGTAGCATTTTGTTTTGAAAGTAGACAGAGATATGGGAAATGTCAGAGAGGAAAAAAAAGGTCAACACCCAGCAGAAGTCCCCAGCCAGACACAAAACAACCACTTTGTAGCTTAGTGACATGACTCTGATCTCATACAACTTCTCTTTACTGGTTGCATATGTCCACTGATTATGACCAGTTCAGCCACCGCTGACACAGCAGAGCCTTGTTTTGTTTAAGTAATTTTTAGGCCTGAAAAGGTAAATGATCCATTAAGTATAACGTATATCAGGCTTTGGATCAACACACAGTACTTTTATAAGGATCATGGACAGATCATGAGATAATGAGTCCCTGGGCACAGACATGGAGAAGGCCCCTATTTCTCTTACACTTATAGGAGCAGGACTCATAGACTGAGCAATTACATGATTAGTAGACTTTTTTTGTCCTTTATTGTTTTGCATCTCTTTGTAGTTGCTGTGTTTCGGTTTTTGTTTTGCATATTTTTGCAGTCCCGTTGCTGTCTTTTGGGTCATTTTCTGTCTCATTTTAGTCCTTTTGTTTCCCAATGTATCTGTTTTTTTCCTTTTTTGTGGCATTTTGTGCTTGTTTTGTAGTCATTTGATAGACTGTCCAGCCATGTTTAGGATACATTTGTTGTAGGTTTTGGGCTACACATGTTATTTATTGATAAGATACAGTTATAGAATATCACCACATTATTACAATAAAGGTTAGTAAACCAGTGGAACTGTAGGGTCCCTCTTACCTACAGTTGGTCTGCAGCACCATCGTCTGTCAGAGCTGCATATCTGCAGTCTACTAGCCTTCTCAGGTGAGCTACTGTAGGGAGCCAGAGATATTTTCTGTGCAGTGGAATACACTAGTCCAACCTTCAGTGTTTCTCTGCCATCCAAATGCAAGCATTCAAAGGAAACTGTTGTATTACCATTTTGTCACATCACACTTTCTTAACAGACAGTTAGCTCTCATCTGAAGCATTACATTTGGATTATGTGCCCATCCTCTTGTTCCTTTATATGATTGTGGGTAAAGCAGCAAAACAAGCCTAATGAGAGCAAACAGTGAAGCAGATGTGTGGAAATGCTGTGTGAGGACAGCAGCTCAGTAAGTGCTGAAAACACTTCATCATGAGGATGCATCAAACTGTCTCCAGAGCACTGGGTCAGAGTCAGGAGTTCAAATGATGGAAGTGGGAGGAGAAGAGAAAAAGTGTGCAACATGAATATCACCATCACACTGATATAGTTCTGCTGATACAGACATGTGAAGCATGTCAGATCAATGCTCAGTCTGAATTTGTATTGAAACAGGACATTCAGCTTCCTGCTAGTTTTAAAACATACAGTCACTCAAATACATTTCATATCACTTAATGGACCTGAGGATGGACATTTATCCAAATCTGATGTAAATATCGCTAATCAATATTTATGATGAGCGAGACTTTTTGTACTGTAAAAAGATGACTGATCAGATTTTCTCTAAGCACTTCGTGTTAATAAACTAGTGACCAACACAGACATTTTTATTCTTATTCACAATGGTTGTCTGTAGGTGCAAAGTCCTTTTTTAGTTTTTAGCTTATTGTGGGAGCTGCACACAGTGAAATATTTACGGTCACATTTTGTTTTTTGCTAGGTTCCAAAGAAGAAATGAACAAAGCAGGCTCTCAGTTCTCTGGTAACTTTACTAGATTACATTTTGGATCATGAGAAAAAAAAAAAAAGATATTGATATACTATCAAATGTTACTGTATGGGACGGTAGTAGACACACTAGACATATGCAAATTAAAATGCTATGTTTGGCTTACTAATGTTACAGTATTAGTAGTTGAACTACGTGCAAACAGTTTGTTGCTAATAATCCATTCTCCCTGATAGATTATGTGTCAGACCAGCTGAGAAAATAAACACACAGCGTCAAGCCAGACTGTAAATACATTTGCACATTCGACTTAGATCTTTGTAGCTGTGGGTACATTTGCATATATTATTTAAATATTCATAGATCCTGGAATTCACAATGAGGAGCAAATGTTGAGGTCTATTACAGAGGTTCACTGAACCTTTTTTGAGGAAAAACTGTTAGACTATACATTGCAGAGCATTTTTATTTGCAAATGTAAATATTAAAATGTCTCTTTAAACATTCCAAATGGCTATTACTGCTTCCCCAGCCTCCCCTCCACTTTTGTACTCTAGTGTTATCTGTTGCTTCCACCTTTGTTTCCTCCTCTCCTCTGTCTCTGAATCTGGGGTGGGAGACCAGAAGCTCTCTCGTCTGCATGTTTTGGTAGTGAAAGTCATCTTCACTCTCCGATGATGGTCACTGTTAACCTCAAACAGACACAAGCACACATTCACATACTGTGTAAGTTCAGATGCTTTCATTTATCCAGCCACAGTCTTATTTACATAAATATACATTAAATATACATACATTAAAGAACACACTTGTTCTTTAATTGCTTTTTTCTTTCTCATATTCACTCACATGCAACAACACACAATGTAATTCCCCAGACTGTATTTAGAGCATTTGGTGCATTTAGCATGGAGCTTCCAATGAATAACTAATGAGATGGATTTTGGAATCAGCATCAACGAGAATCTTCTAGAGAATAGGGGAATACACACTCCCCAGAGTGTGTTTAATAACTAGTTTTAAGAATGCCCGATTACACACTTGTGATTACACACTCTGTGTGTGAGAAACATACAAGTCTCTCTTTCTCAGTTTCTGTCTGTAATGTTGCATCAGGGAATTTAAAGGTACCTATGAGTTCCCATTAAAGCCTGATTTATGCCTCTGCATTGAATCTACACAGAGCCTATGCACATTGGCTGTGCTTGAAATGTGAGGATACTGCTATTTAAAGGATAAGGCCGGCCATTTTTTATATTAAAATTATTTTCAACACTGCCTCTACGCATGGTTAATGTCCGTGAGTCTGTCAGTCCTGGATCAGCTTGTTTGTCTGTGCAATAAACCTCTGTCGTTCAAAGACAATTTAAAAAACATCAGTGAAACACAGCTGCACTGGGTGATGTTTCTTCATTAGCAAACCCCAGTGTAATGAGCTAACAGAAGGTAAACAAATCAGAGAGAACTCTCAAGATCTCTTGTTTGAACAGTTGGGTCTGACTCATTCTAACTTCAGGAAATTATGGCTGCTCTGGGCCTTTGAGTCAACATTGCAGAGTCTGGGGATTTGTAATGAAAAAACACAAAAAAAGATTATTTGGAAAAATAAAGGACAGGGTACTGGTTGCAGAGACGAAGCAGGGGCAGAGCAGGTACTGGGCTGGCTCGATGAAACGGTTCACCTGAGTGCTGCAGCGGCGGTGCCGGGGCAGAGCAGGCAGCAGCTGGATAGCAGGGCAAAAGCTTGAATGACGAACCGGTGGGGAACTAACGGAAAAGGGTGTATATATGGGGAACTGAACCAGGAGGTAATGAGAGGCAGGTAGATGTGATTCTGACTGATTACGCTGGCTGGGACATGACAGGCAGGGAGAGACAGGGAAAAGCAACAGAAAAACAGGAAGCCAAAGACTGAACCACAACACTTAGTGGCTTAAGGACAGTGAAATAAAAGTTTAGTGAACATTGGAAAGGCTTGTGACTTTGAAGGCAAAGTTCAATCATGTTAAACTCTGAAGCAAAATGTCAGTAGGTCAATTTACATCCAAGCAAATATCACTTTGTTTCACATAAAATGGGGAAACCAGTTTAGTGTGACTGCACTTTTTGTCAAAAACTGTCTAAACCAACCCACACAGTCCCCAGGAGAAATCTAAACAGAAGAAAGTAAGTGTGCAGAACCTTTTCAGTAGAATGACTTTGTCAGTTAAAATATCCTGAAATGTTTACATTTTGACAACTTGGCAAATGTAAACAATATCCAGAATAATGACTACCTGTGCATCAGCTGTCAGATCCCACTAATGCTTCCTTTCTTATTGTTTTTTTTACAGCATACAAATATGTTCTGCCTGTTGTACAATAAAATCAGAATATAAAGATGAGTAAACCACAAGACAGCATGCATCCTTTCTGTGAACCTTTGCACTGTTTCCCCCTCTCTGTAGATCTATATTTGTGTTAAACCAACAGACTGATTTCAGGTCTGTCTTGAGAGGTGGTCATGAATCAGTTTGTGAATGTCAGGGTATCAAATGTTGAGTTATCCTGCTCAGTGTCTGGTATGACCACTTGGTAGAGCTGTTGCACACAGAACCTCCACATTGCCCATTTGCTGAACTCTCAGATGGTACAGTATAACAAGGAGGCAGGGTCTTCAGCACTTGGTATTCTGATGCTGTGTGTAATTATTTTTGTATTTTGGGTGTGTAAAAACACCAAACAATCAACACTGATTATATATGCAGTGTGATTCATCTCTGTATGAGCCATAAAATTACTCAGGACTTTTAATAACTTCTTCCAGTATTAGTGGGCAAAGTCAAAGGTGCTAAGGCATCTTAGATAATTATCCACCTAACTGACTGCAGTATGTGGTCAAAAGAGTCCTCTACTGTCCTACTTGGTTAGAATGTTAATTGGTAACAGTGCAATAAAAATTTGAGAAGCATTTTCAGCACTGAACATAATCATATACAGTAATAATATACTGAACATACCAAACTGAACATACTAAAGAACAGCTTTTCAAATGTCAAAGCACTTTATGACATTCATCAGACTGCATCAATACTGTGGTCCTTGTACAATGTGAATTAAAGAAGGAAAATATTTACAGCCTACATTTCTCATGTAAAGCTGTCATCATATCAGTTTCCAAACTTGATTTGACATGAAACAATGTAAATAAATTGATAATATTAATCTATAAACCTAGTCAAAATACGCACATAGAGGAAAAAAACACATTCTATAAGATTTCATTGTTGAGCTGTCAGATATTTAGACTGTCAGGGCTAACACCTCTGTACACACGTATTTTAGGCATGTCTTCATTGGATTTGCAGAAAACCTACTATATCATGATAAATATTGTGAAATACTATGCACGATAACATTCTAGAATCATAAAGTTTTGTCTGAGAGTACTAAACAGTGCAAGGTTTTGGTGTCTAAAAAATGTTTAAAACATTAATGTGATACACATTTTTAGGTGAAATGCAAAATTAGTGAATTTTTATCATATATGCAAAGTCGTGGAACAGCTTCTTGCATGAAACTCCCAGACTGAAAAGTGTAGTTATTGACAATGTGTACTGAAAGTGCTAAGTGCTTTGCCCTTCATAAAATGAATCTAGTATTTGATATATACACACTCTAAGTGGCCACAGGTGAGCAAACCCAAACCAGCAATGGTTCCCTGACTTTTTCTGCTGGATTCCCCTTTTGTGGGTAAAAAATAAGCCCCTCAACATCATAGTGGTCAGTTACATTTAGCCACTGACACACCCTCTCTGTCTTAACTCCAGCCCCCCAGTTT